TTATCAGAGTGCTGTATTTGAAGATCCACATCCAGGACCATTTCTTTCTGAACCTGAAAAACAAGCCTAAGGAATGCTGATGAAAACAAGTAGGAGGGATTTTCCCCTGTCCCTTTTTTTTTACAAAACAAAAAAAAACAATTGCACATCACCTCTCTGGGATTTCAGCTGTACATTTCTTTTCTACAGATGCTGAAAGCTGACTTCCTCCCTGGAGTTTCAGCTTCAGATAGAATGCACCACCATTACAGCAAAGAGACACACTATTTCATCCTGGTTTTTATCCCACAGAAAATCAGAGAAAATACTTGTCTTCTGATGTTGTTTTCATCATAATATTATTGATTTGCCCGCACCATTTCCCCTTAAGGGAGTCTCTGTTGCCATCTTAAAGGCCGCTCCAACATTATATTACCTTGAGTAAAATTTGTTAGACACCCACATGGATCATTAAATATCGTCACTAGTTCCCACAAGATGAAGAATAACACGTGCTTCCTCTGAGACAGGTCTTTTTCATTTGTATATTTGAACAGTTTTTTTAAATAATTTATTTCTCAAGGACAGTGCCTGTTATTAAATCGTATCAGCTGTACTGTAAATGAGTTAGCCCAAAAAAGGCTCATTTTCATCTGATGTCCCTGGTCATATATTAGTAGGCACAGAAAATACAGAATAACACTATTATAACACGTACAAAATATATCTAAAATAGCAGAGTACAGTGCTGCTAGAAAATTTGTGAACCCTTTACAATTTTCTGTATTTCTGCATAAATCTGACCTGAAATGTGATCAGATCTTTATCTAAGTCCTACAACTAGATAAAGAGAACCTAATTAAACAAATGACTCAAAAACATTATAGTTTTTACATTTATTTGTTGAGCAAAATTATCCATCATTAAAAAAGTATGTGAACCTCTAGTTCATTTAAAGGGGTAATGGAAGTCAGGCGTAAGTTTAGCAGGCCCTCCCATGGTTCAAGAACATAAGCTTCACTATCAAAGTCTGGTTTTCACCACACAGGTTTAGGACCTGAGAAAAAGTGTTATCGATGCTCACGGAAAAGGTTACAGAACCATTTCTAAAGAGTTTGGCTTCCACCATTCCACTGTGAGGCAGATGATATACAATTGGAGGAAATTCAGCACTACTGTTACTCTCCCAAGGAGTGGTCATCCAGCAAAAATCACTCCAAGGGTGTGGCGAATAATATTACAGGAAGTCACAGAACCCCAGGGGAACATCTACAGGCCAGTCTTGTATTAAGTAATGTCAATGTTCATGAGACTACCATCAGGCAAACACTGAACAAGAACAGTGTGCATGGCAGTATAGCAAGGAGGAAGCCACTACTCTCCAAAAAGATCACTGCTGCCTGTCTGAAATTTGTTCAAGACCATGTGGATAAGCCAGAAGCCTATTGCAAGAATGTTCTGTAGACAGATGAGCCCAAAATAGAACTTTCTGATTTAAATAAAAAGCGTTATGTTTGGTGAAAACCAAACACTGCATTCCAACATAAGGACCTCATCCCAACCGTGAAGCATGGGGGTGGCAGTATCATGGTTTGGGGTTGGTTTGCTGCCCCGGGTCCAGGACGGCTTGCCATTATTGACAGACCTATAAATTCTGGATTGTACCAGCAAAATCTACAGGAGAATGACAGGGTATGGGAATGGGCCAAAATTCCTCCAACCCATTGTGCAGAATTGATCACCAGTTACCACAAACGTTTGGTTGAAGTTATTGCTGCTCAAGCAGGTTACACTAGTTACTGAAAGCAAAGATTCACATACTTTTTCTGACAAAGACATTTAACGTTGGATAATTTTGCTCAATACATTAAAGTAAAAACTAAAATGTTTTTTCCATCATTTGTTTAATTGGGTTATCTTTATCTAGTTTTAAGACTTAGATGGATATATGATCACTTTTCAGGTCAATTTTATGCAGAAAATTGTACAAACAAACATTCTAGTGGCATCGTACATCCTTAAATCTATCGAGATACATAGACACACATACATAGTATCAAATAATATATACAAGTTTTGCGATCGAGGCTTTGTAGGCAACATAGTATACAAGCAGAAGAATATTCAAGTGGTTTCAATATAGTTTTACTAACTTGTGCCCGATTTATTAAACAGTATGTAAGTGGATCATAGCATTCATATATAATTTGGCTGCATCAATCGTGACTAAGTTTCTTATAAATGTGTAATTCGCCAAAATAAATTTAACCCTGTGACTCCTGAATAAAACTGTTCCATTTTAAATGATGAAAATTGCTGTACTAAATAAACCTAGACTAAAACTAACCAACACCAATTGGCTAAAATTGTTATATATTTTAATACCACAGTGCTGTTGAATTCTTGTACCTGATTGGTCAGAAAGATGTTGATTTATTTTTCTATAACAGCAGCTCTGACAATAATTCTGGCTGCAAGAAAAATCGCAGGTTTATACTTCTCTTGTTCTAAAATATTATCATTTCTGTAGTAACACAGGGACCTACATAGAGACTTGTATGGCAGATATTCCATGTAGTCTAATACTAATGAAATTTTTAAAAAGTGCTTGTATTTAACAAATACCAAATCGTACTGATTACATGGCACAGACTCCTGCCTGTTTGGTGACTTTGACTCTGCTTCTCTGCTTCATCTCTACCGCCTGACACTGCGCCACACTACCCTGTAATGATTATTTTGATGTTTTTAACAAGAAAGTAAGACTGAATCTAAATAAGCTCCGAAGATGAACACTAATATTGTCATCTGGTGCTGTAAGTGGCTACTCCTGTGATGTGGGTATTACTGATGAAAGCATGTGTGTGGTGTGTTGGTAATGAGCTTGGTGGAGCATGGAAAGAGCCCAATTTTAATTTTACTGGTATTTTTATTTTTAGAATGTTTTTCAGTCTATCCGTCTTCTGAATGCCAAGATTAGCTTTTAATCTCTTCACATCAACAGCTATTGCAAAAAAAAAAAATAGTAAAACCTGTCACCTACAAGAGAAGATCCTAGACATGTTGGTGGATTTTACTCGCTGGCCTCAATCAGAAAGAGTTTACCTGGACAATCCCAGGAAAGAAAAAAAAAGGAGGACTTGTAGTTTCACTTTGATGTGACCTCCAAAACCTCAGTATAGTGTCTGTTTAACACGAGACGCTGTGAGAACTTCACAGCACACTAGCTATTTAAAAAGAGGTGTCTTGATATATGCTTATTTTGTCAGCTAGGAGAGAAATTAGAAATATTCAAGTAATATTTCTTTCACATTTTGATATTGTAATAGTGTTAAATAAGGAGACAGGGTAAGTGCATATCTGTACTGTCATGAGGTGTTTTGAATAAGCAGCATGAATATTAGCAGTAATTTTAGATGACACACTAATCTGTCACCTGTCAGGTCTTGGCTAGATTTACAGTGGGACTGAATAATATGTATATTCACTTGACATATCGGAGACCAAAAGAAAGAAGAAGGAATATGACTAATGTCCTATAAATGATTATGGAAATTTTGCAGTATGCAGTGATTATGCAATATGCAGAACAGCACACACCACTATAAAGAGAAAATAATTCATTCAGCTGGAAAACAAACAAGCTCCAGGCTTCTCGCTACTAAGATGAAAGGGAATATGTTTATAAATTTACTGCAATTTCTTTGATTAATGAGCCAATAAAAGTATATAAATTTAATCCTCAAGTTGTCATCATTTGCATTGAATATGGATATGGAAATATTTTTTACAGTTCAAAAGGATCATAATAATAGAACGACTGAGCACAGAGACAACTCTCTGAGATCTCCTCAAAGTTGATTGTCTGCTCTCTGCAGTAGAAAATCATAAAATTAGCATAGCTTATTAAATGCATAAAGAGAATATCATCTTCCTAAAATTCCAAATGGAATATAATGACGGTCCTGATGAGTTATTTATTTTTCCTGATCTGACCTTTTTAATCTCGATAATTCGAATTATTCCTAACATGTGAAATGAACTCCAAGTATTTGGACACATGAGAGCTGTGTTGCATGCCCTGTATGATCTGAGGTTTGGGTCATGCTGAAATACCGCTACTCTTTTTTCATTTTTTTGCTGACCAAGGACTCTGTAGGACAATCAGTTTTGACTAGTGGGATGTGTCTTGGCGGGATATTGTTGTCTAATTATATCGGGTCAGCAGATTTCACAGCCACGCTACAGGGCAATGGGTAAAGTGCTATGATGGGCTCTCGAGGGACCTGCATAATTTGAAATGGTCTGATGAGTTTAAGAAAAATGCACGTCCACTTCTTTGCCATATGGGAAATGAATATGGATTGAAGAAATGAAATGCAGGCATTTTACTAGTGTTTGTTGTGGTAATGGAAAAATGATTAAAAAAATCCAGACACTTCAAATGAGATCCACAAAGCTTTATGGGTATTACATGGGATAAATATTTTGCATTTAAGTTAAGAATTCTCGATTAATTTTATTTATAGGCCACCATTTTACCACCAAACTGAATCAAGTCAAGCAGTCTTTCCCATTGACAGTTCCTACAATTATTGCTTTTGTTGTTCTTACATACTCGATTCTGCTCCTGAACGGCATAGCAGTTAGAGGATCAGCAGTGCCAACTTCACTGCATTACAGCGCACTTTTTTTTTTTTTTGCATACACTTTTATCCGAAGCAACTTACAATTGAGTTAAATACATGATGGTTAAAGGGCTTGTTCAAGGAACCAGCACTGGCAGTTTGGCAGGACTGGGATTTGAACTCCTCCCTGTAGAGTTCTCACTAAGTCCCTCTCCAATACACTGAAGTGAAGTTTGGGAGATGTGCCTATGGAAGGCTGACTTCAGACATCAGGAATAGAATTTGCCCAAAAGGATAAATTTATTTTGTAAATCAGTGAAGCCTTTTAGGTTGTTGGCTGTACTTATTAAATATTTAATATTTAAAAACTAATGTTTAATTTGCTCCATTCAGTCCCTGGAGGAATAGTGGTCAGGCCATGGTGCTCTCACTGCTGCAGCCCAGGTTCAATTCCTGGCCAGGGAACCAACCCCAGCCACTGGGGTTACACATGACAGTGCCGGTCCCAAGCCTGGATAAAACTGGGGAGGGCTGCATCAGGAAGGGCATCTGGCATTAAAAAAAAAAAAAAAAAACTGTGCCAAATCAAATATGCAGACCAATGATCTGCTGTGGCGACCCCTAACGGGAGCAGCCGAAAGAACAACAACAACAACAACATTTTAATTTGCTACTTTCAGATGAGGTTTTATATAGCTGACTAGTCCACCATTAAACGTATGAAATGCCATTACATTCTTCTACATTATTCTGAAAGCTAGTCAGCACGCTAGCTGGTGGCATTATACTTATAATTACTTAGCAAGTTGGTTTGACTCTGGTTTGCTGGTTTGATGAATTTATTCATTCCTCTTCAGTATCTGGAGACTATCCTGAATACACTGGGTATAAGGCAGGCTTACGGATCATCACAGGGCATCAGATGTATTCATTTGCATGCTCAGTCACACTCATTCAAGATATTTTTAACCACATCGCTCCTTTCCTTGTGCTCCTTTCCTTGTGCTTGTGGCCACTTGTGTGAAATAGGAGACACACTTCAGAAAGTAATTAGAAAGTCGGTGACGGTGTAATCAAAATAACATCAGGACAAAGAAGAAACTGTGGGGTACAGGCGTGCCTTCAACAACAACAGGCAACAGGACTCGAGTGTATCTTCCCTAGCAGAATCTAGCCCACTTTGTCTTGCCTACTTTGACATTTTTGCTGATGCTTCTCGAACTATAGGAGCATATATCCAACCATGCTGAAAAAAATATGAGCCAGCCGTTTCATTACCATGGCTCAATAACATCCTACAAAAACCTACGACCACTAATCCCGTCCTCACCCTAACCTTAACCGATTGTAGCCTTCGAAAGCTTGTAATAATTCTGATGGAGTCGTAGTCATGACACCAGTTTGATTGCACAGTCTTACCCAGGTACTAATGAATTCTGCACGGAACCTGGAGGAGATCCAGATGTCTTTGTCGAACTTTGGGGAACAGGCACACACTCTTCGAATATGTTTAAAAGAGCCCTCTGTTCTCATCTCCTCATTCTTATTCTGTCACCGGAGTGACTGTCACTCTGGGTGCTTTGATGACAAATGGTGACATCGTGCTCCACGCCATCTGTGCAGCATTAGGACTACGGCGACAGTGTCAGCCTTGATAAAGCTGCTAAACAGAGGTGGACATTTTAAACCTGTGCCACTCGGTGGGCCATTTCAGATTAAAGAACGATGACCTGTCACTCAGAAACTCATCACACGCTTGCAGAGCTCCAATGTGAATGCCTCAACTCCCACATTCTGCTCGAGGGGAGCCTCTCAGACTCAACAATGTGCTTTTTTCCTCTCAACAAGGGTGTGGTGGAGAGCTGGTGGTTATATTTCAAAACCCTTTGACAGCACTCATTGCATATTCATGCACTTCAAATTTCATGAGCGCAAAAGCGGAAGCATGTGTCAAATACAAGGAAGATTAAAAAGATGAGCATCTGATTGCATGTTTTATGAGGTGCTCAACTTCGTAGTTCTAAAAAGAGACGTTATGCTCCTGCCTTCCTTTACATAAACATTGTTATAATTAGTATGCCCTATGGTGATATTGTTTAATCTTAGTCAAATAATCAGGAACCATATATTTTGCCTTGAGTTCCTGACTAGAGTCTGCAATGCAATGCAATAAAAATTATTACTGCACTATTTTTGGATGTAGCTAAGCAGAAAATCGAAAAAAGCACTGTTACTGACAGCAGCAAATCATCTAAATGTCAGTTCACACCACATGCATGAACATGACTGAGAACTATAAGCCATCAGAAGGTCTAATATTACAATATTACAAGGAGCAATGTGTCTGTCTGAAATTATCATGTGTAAGATAAATGAAGGTCTCTTGCTATGAGTTAAACTTTTTTTTTCATATGGGCTTTGCGATAATTTAACAATCGACTGTTTTCTAAATTCTCCTGCAGAACTCTGTGGCGGATCTGTCTAACGCTGCTCGGACTCGATGGCTGATGGAGTATGAAGAA